CCAAGAGTGGAAGGGCCAGGTGGAGGAGGCAGATTCTGAACTGGCTGGTTTGCCTATCCAGGCAGGCTCCTGACTGAGCCCCTGCTGCTCTGAGAACTGGCTCTCAGAGGAGACCGCGTCTCTCTCCAGCCAGAAGGACGTTATGGGACCTGAAAACTTCACGGTATACTGAATCCTCCCCTCCCCGACAACACACGCGCACACACGTGCACACTCCCTTTGTGTTTCCTTTCACCAAGCATCCACAGTGTCAGAACCGGGGGTGTCTGTACCTCATTGAAGGGCTCAGGAGCACTGAGAGGTGCCCTGCAGTGAAGGTGAGTTCCCTCGGGGACACCTACCCCCCAGTAGGGACTGTAGCCCTTTGTCCTTCTTTACCTGCAGGCAGGTCCATCCCCCCTGAACTGCAGAACCGGTGGCGGGCAGGAGAGCCTGGGCTGCTTCATGTGAAGGCCTGGGCCGCACTGCTTCTCCTCACAAACCACCAGGACTCAGTCACGTGGGCCTGCCATAACCACCCAATCACTGTCCCCTATCAAGGACCCCACCCCCAATACAATCACTGATCACATTTTGACCCTTTTCTTTCAGTTACAATCAAGTCTCAACACATGGATTTCAGGGACACATTCAAACTGCAGCATTCAACTCTTGGCCCCTTAAAGTCATGTACTTATCCCATATAAAATCATCCCAGGAATCCAATATGCCTTAACTTACAACAATATCTACTCTGAAGTCTGAAGATTGATCTGAAACAATTTACATACTCCCCAAATACAATGGCAACACAGACGTAGTGTAGAAATTTTCATTCTGCAAGACGGAAGGAGTGACAGGCCCCAATCAAGTCCAAAGCCACTGGGCAGACATTCGATCCTGAAACCCCATGCTCCACATCCTGGACATATGGAGTGGGCTGGGGCCCCAGAACAGCCTGTGCCCTGGCACTCCTGGACTCCGCCCATGCTTCTGCTCTCTCTGGTTGGCATCTCCTGTCTGTATTTCCTTCGGGCCAGCTCTGCATGCTGACAGCACCACAATTCTAGAGTCGGGGGACAATCCCAGCTAAGCTCTGCTCTGATGGGACTTCACTGAGGCAGATCCGGCCTGACATTTCTACTTGGTTTTGCACTAGTGGGAGCCCTCTGTGGTGACTCCCTCCATACAAGGGAAGCAGAGTCCTGAGGCTGCTCAGGGCAACTAGTCTGCTTTCCCAGGCCTCTGGGCTCATGATGGGAAAGGTCTTCAAAATGCCCTTGGGGTTTCCTCCCATTTTCCTGGCAATTACCACCGGTATCCCTTGTCACGCTGATAATCTCTTTAGAAGCCTGTCTCTTGGCCATGCTTTGCTCTCCCAAACACACTCTTCCATTCATTTGCTTTGGTGGGTAGGAAGGGGGGGGTCACATTTTATTTAGGGCCCCAGGTGGACCTTGTCAACAGAGGGGTTCACAGTTTCTTTAGCAGTTCCAGGCTGTGGCCCTACGGGTCCCCTGGGTGGCTGGGCTGGGTGGGCATGTTCCCATCATCTCAGAGGGGTGCTGGGTAGTTGTAGGATGGGGCCTGATTCTTTGTGGTTGTGCACTTGGCATAGGGACTGAGTGAGGGCAGGATGAAGGCAAGGCCCATGATGGTCAATTTTCCAGTTTTCATGATGCTTCCCTTTTTATAAGTTCTGTCCTTAAATAATCCTTCCTGCTCGCACAGTGCTATGTGCAATGAACAATAACTGTGCAGCCCCTTCTATAGTTTGCCTTGAAATTTCATTGCCCAGATCTTCATCACTTTCAAACTCAACATTCAACAAAGCCTTAGGTCGTGAGCATTTTGCAGCCAAATTCTTTGCTATGGTGTCGCTTGGATGCTTTTTTTTTCCTCCGATTTTCAATAAGATACTCACCATTTTCCTCTGATCCCTCCTCAGCATGGACTTGCCACCCATATTCCTATTACAATGCTGTTGGCTGTCAGTAACCAGTCTCTAAGAAGTTACAAGCTTTCTCCTGTCTTCTCACCCACTGACCTTCTTCCAGAATTGCCTGTAGTGTATTCTAAGTCGTTTTTATTCTTCTTCTACAAACTCTGCTAAACTCTGTCCATTATCCAGTCCTAAGGCCACTTTCATATCTTCTAAGGCCCCACTCTCAGTGCTGATTTTCTTTTCCAGTCTGTTTTATCGTTAATTATAGGAAATAGCTGAAGCTAGGATATTTATGAAAATGTAGATTTTCAGCTCCCAGTTGACGATTCAAGGACCAAGGGCTCTCTGGTGGGGGTCCTTCTGGCTGTATTGCAACATGGTGCCAAGGAGGAGAGCCTGGTCTACTTCCCATGTATAGGGCTCTATCCGTTTTCTTCCCCTTACAAACCCACCAGGACTCAACCATGTGGTATCCACCCAAATCACCACCACTGGTCTCCTCTCAAAGGCCCCACTATTCAACAAAATCATTGGATCAAGATTTCACCATTTAAGTCTTATTATAATAAAATCTCAACACATTTTGGAGAGACATATTGAAACTATAGCACTGTTTTCCCATTGAAGCTTCACTATAGATTTGGTGTTGACCCTTGCTTCTAATATAGCAGAGTTCTTACTCTAGTAGCTTGTTCCCAACTGATGTCTAATCGTTCTTAGTGCATCAAATTAGATCCTATTCAGACATGTTATGTCAGAGCAGTATGATGTGTTTTGTTTTGCTTTTTTGGTGCAAAAAAATAATTTAAATCCACAGTTTTTTGTATTATGTACTTTCTGTTAAATTTTTAAAGACTAAGCTCTTTCTATGGTCAGAATTTAGGAAGAACACCTACAAATTAATAACAAAAAGACAAACAAACAAAAAAGAAATAAAATGGCAAATGACTTGAACAGACATGTAACCAACAAGACCCAGTAAAAGATGGTCAGCAATTGAGACAGCAGGTGGCGTAGCAGTTAACGTGCTAGACTCCCACACAGCTGACTGCAGTGTGAATTCCAGACCTGGAGGCTTGAAACTCTTGCCAGGCACATGTGCTTGAGTGCTCAAAATCCCAGGAAGAGAATGGAGGAGAAAGGATTGCAGTGTGGCCATCCTCCCTGGGAGGTGATTTCTCAGTTTCTCTCGGTCTCTTCAGTGAGCGCATGTGCGCTATAGCAACAATCTCTCTCATAAAAAAAATTATCAACAATTTTAGTCACCAAAGAAATGCAAATTCAGATGAATGTTAGACACATTTTCACACTGATTAGAATGGCTAATATTGGAAAAAACTGAGAGCCTCAAATAACAACAAAGGTGGGAGGCGGCTGGAGGACCTGCGGCAGACACGCTTCCGCCGCAGCTCCGGCCTGGTTTCCTTTGGCGTCTGACAGTGAGCTCGGTCATGCTCCATGGGGAAGCGGGACAATCAAGTGGCACATATGACCCAAATAGCAGCGGCCAGATCAAGAGGTCTAATCCAGTCTTCAGGACCAACGACCCAGGATGATCTGAATCGACCAAGGCCTACCTGGGAAGAAGTGAAAGAGCAACTAGAAAAGAAAAAGAAAGGCTCCAAGGCTTTGGCTGAATTTGAAGAAAACGTGAATGAGGACAAGAAACAAGGAAAAAGGAGAAAGAAAAAGAAGAACCGTTCACATCAATTTTCTGAAAGCTCCATATCAGAAACTGAGTCAGACTGTAAGGATAGTTTAAAAAAGAAATGAAAGGATGCAACTGAGAAAGAGAAGGACATGAAAAGACTGAGCAAAAAAAGAAAACTGTATCCGGAAGATAAACCTTTGTCCTCTGAGACCATGTCAGAGTCAGAATATATTGATGAGGTATGAGCAAAAAAGAAGAAAAAGCAGTGAAGAATGAGAAAAAGCAACAGAAAAAAAAAAGGCATAAGAAACACAGTAAGAAGAAAAAGAAGGCTGCCAGTTCAAGTCCTGACTGCGTCACATTAAGAAAAATCAGGAGGGAACCAGCAGTTAGCGTAATGGCTATGTCGTTGGACTCCCACGTAGTCAACCGTGGTTCGCGTCCCAGACCCGGTGGCTTAAAACTCACGCTGGGTGCGTGTGCGTGCGTGCCCAAGATCCTGAGAGGAGAATGGAGGAGAGGGGATTGCGGCGTGACCATCCCCCCTGGGGGGTGATTTCTCGCTTTCTGTCTCTGTCTCTGTCTGGCGAGCGCACGTGCTCTATAGCAAAAACCTCTCTTAAAAAAAAAGAAAAAAAAGATTAAACAAGAAAAATCAGGATACTCTTATAAAGAAAGTGCAATGTCTAAGGAAATTTCAACTGTGAAAATTATGACATATTTACTAAAATGCGTGAATTTCTTGCTTTTAGAATTATTCCTGGACTTTTCAGAGGCCACTCAGAGGCTGCTGTGTAAAAGGGCCACGACTGTTGCCTGCTGCTTGAACATCCGGTTGTTTTATTTTTTCTTTCCTCTCCCAGTGCTTGATAATACACTGCAGTCATACTAGTGGTTAAGATATTTGGGAATAAAGTCAATATTTTGGACTAGACGTATCTAATGATAAGTCACCAAGAAACGGACTCCGGATGCATCTTTGAGATATAATCATTGGGCTCTGATGGCAGATGGGTCTAGTTAAAATTTTTAAAGTAGGGATTACATTGATACTTAGAAATCCTTACTCTGTAGATAAGTGTATTTTAATTTTTTTCTCCCTTGTATACTTTACCTGAGAAAGGAGCTTTTAGGGTGAGGGTGGGTGGTTTGTTATCTCTTTAGCTAGCAGAACAGCGTGCCTTGGATCTTTGCACATCTGATTTTTGTTGACACAGTCGCCATGCTTCTGGGAGGTCAGAGCTGGGTGCCAGCAGCCATGCCCTTTCCGGAGCTTAGGGACATCCTTCATCCCTGTCGTATGCTGCTCTGAGGGAACCGGAGAAACAGCGCTTTGCAGCATGAGAAGGCCTAAAGAGCTCCGGGCTTTACCTCCACTTCAAGAATACTGAATATTTTTTAGCATTAAATGTGTTACGTTATTTGAATTGAATTTTGACTACAGTTTGGCTTTGGAGAGAAATTATTTCAAATAGACACTGGTACTTTCTGAACTTAATGGCTAAAGATTCTAAAATGCATGTTTTCTACTATTAAGGTTTTTTTTCTTTTTACTTTTTTTTGAGAAGTTTTTGCTATAGGGTGCGTGCACTCACCAGAAAGATAGAGACAGAGACAGAAAGCGAGAAATCAACCCCCAGGGGGGATGGCCACGCCGCAATCCCTTCTCCTCCATTCTCCTCTCAGGATCTTGGGCACGCACACACAAGCACCCCAGCGTGAGTTTAAGCCACGGGGTTCGGGACTCAAACCACAGTCAGCTACATTGGAGTTCAGCGACATAGCCATTACGCTAACTGCTGGTCCCTATACTATTAAGTTTTAACCAGCCTGGAAAGTTTTATATAGTTTATTTTTTGTATAGCTTTTGTTTAGGCTGCAATGTTTAGCTTTTGTTAACTTTTACTCTTGCTGTTTTAAGTTCATTGCTGTGTTTAATGGCATATTTGCCAAGATACTTCGCATGTAAAAAGTAGGATTTTGATTTTCTTTTCTTTTCTTTTTTTTTTTTTTAAGAAGAAAAACCCAGCTTCATATGGAAGCTGAGATTTATCATAAACAAGTTGAGTGGCAGGCCTGGTACCCTGTGTCTTGTTATGGAAAGCTATTGCCAGAATCTTAGTAAATATAAAGTTTAAAAACAAAAAACAAAAAACAAAAAACAACAAAACCAAAGGTGTGTACAACTGGTATTCACAGATCTTGCTGGGGGAAAGTTGAAAATAATGCAATCATTTTGGAAACTATCAGTTCCTTATAAAGTTGAACTTACATAGACCTTACTGTTCACAGGTTCAGTCCTAGATATTTAATCCCCCCCACCCAGCACACAAATAACTTAATTAAAGTACATGGGCGTTTGATTCATCATAACTGCCAACAAAGAACAACCCAGTAATCTATGAACAAAGAAGAAGACAAAACATCGAAGCTGATGTTGACAAGAGACACTACAGTGATTTAAAACAAAGAAATCACTGATCCAGGAAATAACATATTGAGTGCAAAACGCGAGTATATGCTTTGTTATTTCATTCATATCAAATTTAGCAAAAGAGCAAACTGATCATAGAAATGAGCTCTTGTGGATAAGGCAGTAAAAGTGAAATCTGGGGTGATGATGTGGCCTGTCATGGTTGGGGTGATAGCCATGGGTATCCACATGGGGCACACTTATGGAACTGCACACTCAAGATACGTGAATTTCACTGGATGTGAGTCTTCCTTCAGTGAACAAATGGAAGTTCAGGTTTCAGAAAATCAAAGACCAGTTATGAGGATGGCTGATCAAACCCTGTAGCCCTCAGAGAGGTTAAATTAGGATATACCAGTGGACCTGTGGGGTTTATGAAGACATACTGAGAATCCTCAAGCCCATAGGAAGAATGGCAGTAATCTGTGAGCCTGGGCTACTTGAAGGGAGTGTGGCTTTAATTCCTGTGGGAAGGGTTAACTCAGACCAAGGCGGGGGTCTGGAACTAAGAACAAGAAAAATGACAGACAGCACTAAAATCCAGGTCCTTCAACATTTTGCTTCACAAATTTAACAGAATGTTTATACTGGCAGTTTTGGGGTTCTGGAGCTGTAGATACTCTTTTTTACGGCTTAGTGTTTCTCTTTACAAAAATGACAAACACTGATTTTAGGTGGGAAAATATGAACACTAGTGCCCAGGGGACAGGCGACCTCCACCATCCAGGAGAAATGTGGACTCAGGGGGATGGCAGAGCAGTCAGGCCAGCTTGACTGGCTCCCAGGGGCCTCTGGGAACTTCCCGAGAGGGAGCGCCTCTGTTCTGACAAAGGAAAGCACCTCTGAGGAAGAGGCCAAAATTAGAAATGGAAGAAAGGTGACCTTAGCTCAGGTAATGACACCATGGGACTGCAGAGATGGAAAATAATGCTGTTCAAATGAAATAGTGTAAGCAGGAAAAGGAAGTCCCACGT